ATATATATATATATCTTTTTTCCTGGTGAAAACACTGCTAATGGATTATTTACAGGAATATTGACATCACTGAGGCCCATGATGCAAATTGCAATACTTGTGTGGGATGTGACAGGTCAATGTTAGTACAACTCTAATTGAAGAGGCCTTGACTAACATTCTTCTACTCTTTATTTAGTCCACTGGCTGACAAAGGGGAATTCTCAGCATGGCATTTCATAACAAGAACCCCTTAAAAGTTCTTGTTTGCTGACAAAATGCTGTCAAACAGTCCATGTGTAACAGGATTCTGGTTCAGCATAGCTAAAAAGCCAGAAGATTAGGCCTGTGATTGGAAATAATAAGCTTGGCTGTGGAAAGTGACTGTTCTTCAGGACTCTGCCTAAAAAGACACTTGTGCATTCAACGTACTGTGTTGTCATAAGTAATGGATAAAACTGTCCTGTATTTTTTGGAGATTTCTCAATTGATACAGTCCCAGGAAATGTCTAAAGGCATCCAAACCGTTCCTGTAATTTGATTGTTGTTTTGATTACTAATTGTACAGTTATTCAAGTCTCTGGCCTTAGTCACTCTGCTGGCCTGGTTTCATGTCAGATGCTTCGCTGACCAGAGTCGGGGGGGGTGTCACCAACATGACGTCAACCAAGAGCATAGCTGACTTTCTAGCACGAGTCTCAGATGTGGTAACAGTTACCCAGAAACCCAGACCAGTGTGTTACTGTTTTGCCAAATGTATGACCCAGTTGATCCAAAAATCAAATAAGAAACAAATCCTGCAGGAATAACCCCACCCCCCAGTCCTCCACTCAGCTGCTTCTGAGGAAGTTGAGAATAGCAATTAAACTACGTAGGAGTTTAAGTCTGCTGGCATTTTTACTTTACATTGTTTTTTCTTTTCTTATATGAATAGCAGTGAGTGAATCACTAAGAAGCTGGATTTCATTTTACATCTTTCTTCTTACTCTTCGACAGACTGGATGAATGAAAACACTGATTTTGTTCACATGGTTTCTGCTGCTCTTGGCTCGCCAAAGGGTCTCAGTGACAAAGTCCAAGTTGCACGTCCCCCTCTTTGCCCTCCTCTCCTTGAGTTCTGCTGGGTTGGTTAAATCTGTGAGCATTAGTGGGCGTGAGCATGTGAGTGTGTGTTGGTGCTTCAAGGGCGCATGCGAACTGAGGCCCAGGGGGGAAAGCCTTCCACACAGATCTTAGCCAGCTGCCCTGCTTTAAACACTTCACTGCAAGAAGAGTACAAGAGAGGGGGAATCCGCATGCATCACCCCTACTAGTGTACTCAGAGTACACCGGCAAAGCAGCTGCCAGCTCTACAAACAGCAGACGAGTCCTTCTGCCTCAGATTCACAGGACTCAAAGGGCACTTGCTGCCCTGAGAGGTAGTTGTTCAAACAACCTGACCTCTGGGGTTAAGTAAAGTCAGTTTGCGTGAAGCTCTGTGGAGGAGGGGAGGAAGGAACAGGCACCAGTTAGTGGGAGGTTTGAGGCCACGGTGAGGCTCCTGCACTGCTCAAGAGGGAGACAAAGAAGTCGCCAGGAAGCGGGAGAAGAAGAGGAGATGGCCACGGGAGAAATCACAACACTTCCCTCCACACCTGAAGACGGCGGCAGCGGTGGCTTTCCTCCTGGGAGCTTCAAGGAACCCAAAAGACTGTATTGTAAAAACGGGGGCTTCTTCTTGCGGATAAAATCTGACGGAGGAGTGGATGGAATCCGGGAGAAGAACGACCCCCACAGTGAGTACCTCCAATCTCCTCCTTTTTGCTTTGCACAGCACACAAAGCTTCTTTATTTATTTATTTATTTTTAAATATGCAACAGGGAGGTAAGAATGAGGCACAAAAAAATCAAGAAGGAATGATGTGAACTTTCCAGCTTACTGAGGTTTATTCTCCATTAGTAAACAGTGTGACCAAACTGTGTGCAGGTCCACGTCTGGAAAGTATAATGACCTATAAGAAGTAAACCTCAAATTTTCTTAATCAATGGAAACTTTGATGGTCTATTCTTGTTTTTAATGTAGATCACCATCCTGAGTCACAGCCATTCACACTGCTCACTGTGTTTTACGTCACACAAGACAGCACAACATGGAGTTGCCAGAATTCCTGACTTACTGTCAGAGGTCATTAAACGTATGCCCCTAATACTGTACATCTAAAAAATAATACTCCTATTACAAAATGTAATATGATGTAAAATATATTCTTACCACTCATCTGTACCATCAGTCAGCCACTATTCATTTAGACAGTGAGAAGAGTGTTTATGCTCGTATGTTCTTCTTTCATTTAGAAACTCTTAAAGTGAAAACATTAACACACTTCTTTGGCTTGAACAAGTGTGATACCCTGTGGTGTCTCTGTATTTCTGATTACTTTTAAGTATGTGTCCTAAGTTGCATCAGTCAGTGGGGGGGTGGGGACGACACATGAAACTATGCGCTTATAAACACGTTTGGAAGTTCAGACGTGGCTGAAAGTGTTGGTGCCCTTCTACTTACAAAAGAAAGTGACAGAAGTTATTGCCATCCACTGTTTTCTATCCCATGTTTATTGTAACAGACAAGTTGCTTTTGATTTTCGATGTAACACTGGGACCTTTAGTCTAATGTTATGTAGCACATCCTTTTGATTCCATCACTGGAAACATGCACTTTGGTAGCTCTTAATGAAACGCCTACACTTCTCAGCTGGTAGTTTGCCCACTCTTCCATTCTCCAGTTTTCTCAGGTTTGATGCCTTCTCCCAGCTGCAGCTCCTTCCATAGATGTTCACTTGGTTTAATATTGTTCCGCTTCAGAAACACTCTGGTGTTTTCTTCTCAGCCCTACTTTGTGCTATTAGATGTTTGGGTCATTATTCTGTTGGAGGATCCATGACCGGCGACTGTGACATTCTGCAGTATGTCCAGTCCAGAACAAGTATCTTCTGATTTCACTGTTTTACACAGATTCAAGGCAGCATGAACCAGAAGCAGCAAAGCAACCCCATAAGAAAACTGAGCCTCCTCCATGTTTCACAGATGGTCTTCTTTCTTTGGAAGCTTCCTTTTTTTTTTTGTTTGGCCGTAAAGACAATAGTCCATTTAAAATATCACTACGTTCCACTTATTTATCACCACTTTTAAGTTCTTACAAAAATGTTTCTTAGGTCATTTTAGAAGATCTTTGTATAATAAGCCAAAATAATAAAAACACAAAAAGAAGCTCTTTTAACAGCTTCTTTGTTTACGAACCAAACGTATGCAGGTATAACAAAAACATTGCTTCAGAAAGGTCCCAACCCATTTCACCACATCTGTACTATGTATTACCTAAGATACCGTGTTTCAAACAGGTGTTTCCAAACAGATCTTGATATGGAAAACGTTCAGGGAGAGGTGAGCTATTTTTTAGAATAATTCAGTTATGCTGCAGTCAATCAGGATTATTTGTGAAATATGCCACGGAAATGATGTGAGCAAGTTATAGTTTTAGTTTGTTTGCCATTTGCTGTTTAAAAATTCTTCCCTTTAGTTTTATCCCAGGTTCAGAAAACAATGTTCATAAAACAGTAATCAATATTAATCTTCTAGCTTTTCATGATAGTGGTTTCTTGTGACCAGAGCTGTGCTTCAACAATGAGCCTTTTGTTAAAGTTGTGATAGTCCTGCCAACATTTTAGACAAGCAAACATACCTGTCAGTGAGAACTGGAAATATTACCTAGAAGAGCCAAGGATCGTCCAGTGGGATTTTTGTGCTAATGTAAATGTGACTCTACTTCATCATAATTATGTTCCCATGCTAAAGCTTTCTGAGGACAAAATTGCCCATCAACATTGAAAGAAATTACGTCACTGACCCCAGGACAAACACAGATAGGACCACACTGTACAGGGAGAAAGGGAAAGTTTTACTTAATTCACAGTAGCTGTGGGTCATCATACATCCAGTAAACAGTGAACACACCACTGCACACTCGGACCAATTATACCTTTTTTCTCAGGGAATAACACCTCTTTGATATGTGACATGAATCATCCAAGCAGCAAACCTAACTGTGGACAGATGTGTCTCTCTGAAGTCCCTTAATTCACCTTACAGGGCCCCTGTTTTGTATTTGGTGGTTTGGCTTCATGCAGAGTATGCTCTGTTGACAAGCAGTGCTGTCTCTTCAGAGGTGACCGATACACCTGCGAGGAGGCTCCCATAGCCCACAGTCAGTCACAGTGTACGGTAATGCTACTGTTTGGTGGTTTATGTGAGCTGGCTTTGTTATACCATATTTGTTTATGCTGGTTCCTTGATTTACTGCAAATCAGCCAGTGAAATGGGGACAACCACAACAAAAACCAGCTCAGAAGAAGACACCGACTGCTGTGGCTTACAGCAAATGAACAATGCTCTGAAGGAACAATAGACTGATGAGAGCATTTTAGCTTTTAGCCCATTGATTTGGTTTTATGGCACATGAACTGAGTGGTTCATTCTCAGTGCGTCAGTTGCTACAGGCAGCTAGAAAACTCTGAAAAGCAGGCAGATAAAGTTTTCTCTTAGCTGGTAAACATAGTGGTGCATTTAGCTGCTAAATAGCCAGGTATTCTTTTTTTATTTTTACCCTCAGGAGTTAGTGGAGGCCAAATTAGAGCTAAAATAAGAGTTAGAATTAAAATAAGAATTAGACTGACATTAATTAGGTTGCCAGAAAAATGACTATAAATAAAATAACGTATCTGTTTTTTTGGCTTGTTTTGAGGTGCTGCCCTCTTGTGGTGTACAATCAGTTAGCACAGCTTTAAGTAGTGAAATGCTGTCCTCTTAAAAACATATGTGAACAGTCACCTCCTCCTGTTTTGTGATGTGAAACAAATCAGAAAACGTCCCCTTTCCCTTCTTTTGGACATGATGGTCTCACTTCTTACTGTGAAGTCTCAAATTAATGTAGTAACAATTTGATATTGAAATAAAACACACAGCACCTTGTTGTCTTGGCTGTATCAGGGGTGGTGTTAGATCAGTTACAGCAAAACTCATACAGTTATAACATATTCAGCTGTGATCTAGTGTAGGAATCTGGTCATAGGTTGTTTATGCCACCTTTATCTTTTTATTAAACATATTATTTACTGTTTTAAACACCCCACAGTCAAATGATAAATGTTTTGTGCCTTTGCTCATTTCAAATAAACTTTTTGTCTTTTTTCCTCAGTAAAGCTACAATTCCAGGCGACCTCTGTGGGGGAGGTGGTCATCAAGGGTGTTTACGCTAATCGCTATCTGGCGATGAACAGAGACGGGCGACTGTTTGGAGCGGTGAGTGAGTTGGATTAACTAAAGCATGTGGGATTAATGTGCAAAGATAAGAGTTTACTATAAATATAGTGCCATGAAATCATAAAAATAGCACTTTTGAAAGGCTTCAAAAATGTTTTTCTTTTCACAAATCTGTATCGAACAGTAAATGTTTTTCATTTGACCCCCAGTGCCCTATTTAGACTGCTGTGTTTTGAAAACCAAATATTTACCAGTCATCCAACTAAAAAAAAATCCTCTGCTGGTGGAGAAAAGTGAGCAGGTGAATGACAGGACTTCTAGTATTTTCAGGCTTTTACTGTGAAGTTGTTTTGGGTTTCCCAGGTCAAACTGACAGTCATAGGGGTGATGAAGACGATGGGGATTAAAGTTCTCTGAGAGACACAGGACAAAATCACAGGGAGATTTCTGGAGCTGCATCCAACTATTGATATTTATAAGATGGATGAAGAATGGCTTTTGTTCAGACATGGTGGAATAAACGAGGGGAGTCCTGACAGCGTGGGAAAAGAAATGATGGATAGGCTTAAATGTTCTGAATGAAGATTTAATAGAAAAAGAATCAATTTAACAGTGAAAGAACAGGGGTTAGAAAAATTCCTTATTGAACCTTTGTATAATATTAGACCCATAATGCCTACTACATGCCTTCTACAAAGTGAGCAGATGCACGATGGGGCCTGTGTATTCTTTTTGTCCTGCAGTAGAACATCTGTAGAGGGGTTTTAGAGCTTTGGGTGGCTTCAGACGGTGACAGATTATCTGACTGACCAGGAGACAAAGTGTGACTGCCTGCCTTTTTTTAGTTGTTCAATGATAAGATGTTTCATGTGTGTGAAAGAAACAAAATCTGAACTGAAACACTTTCACATACAGCATAAACAAAGTTAAGACACCCTGCACGTGATCTGACCACTCTGACAGACATGCTGCCTTGAAGAAATGAGCAGTTTTTACAGTGTGCACCATCACAAATTAAAATTAAGTGAAAGGATTTCCTGGATGTCCATGAGAAACAGCTGTCGATCTGTTGCCACAGTGTTGTTGCTCACAGCGGCAGTGTGAAGTGTCGGGGACTGATGTGGTTTGGTGGTTGAAAGTCCGCAGTCCATGTAATTGGCACGAAGCATTTCCTCTTAATGAGAAGCTACAAGTTGTGAGGTGCCACCCTTAGGCGTCGCTCTGCACCGCCTTTACTTGTGCGTAGAACATCATCATAAAACCCACAGGCAAAATCCACTCTCCTCTTATTACATCTGTAGTGTCAAATAGGAAAAGTTAGCATATTGACTGATATGAAAATATATATATATTTGTTGTTGTCAAATAAGTAAGAATTTATTTCCTTATTTGGCATCTTGCCTGGATGTGTCTCGGGTCTGGTATTATGTTATTAGCTGTGTATTACCTCCTTGGCTGATATATTTTTGCCAGTATAACTGACAAATATTGACTCCTAACACATACATCTATACAGACATTTGTTTTGGTAATATGATCTGACAAGCCTGGAGTTGTTTTATTCCAACATAAAAATTTAATATATATACATATATACAATTGGATGCACTTTCACCTTAACATCTGTGTTTATGAAGCTCAAAATGATTTTTTGTGGAATTGTCATAAATGTTTAAATTCAATTCTATGTTTATACTGGACTACATTATATTCAGAGATGTCTCTATATTTTGTCCACCTCAGCTACGTACACGAGAGGGTCAAAATATTAGGAACGCCTCTGAATATAATGTAGTCCAGTACAACACCACCTTTAACTATGACCTCAATAATAAACATAATTGAATTTATACATTTATGACAATTTTACCAAAAGCTGAAACTTTTTGAGCTTCATAAACACAGATGTTAAGGTGGAAGTGTTGCATTGAAGTGTATACAACTGTACAGGTGTACCTAATCAAGTGGCCCATGAGTGTACATTCAATTTTGTTGGAAGCTATTTATTGCTTTTGCATAACGAAAGTTCTCTATTACAAACTGAAAAAAGAAGTCTTCTGACTAATGGCTCCATAGCTGTGCAGTCCCAGCCAGCTAAAAACAGAAACTAAAACAAAAGCCTCTTGTCCGAGTGGCTGCAGGCAGGTGACGCCCAGTGAGACACCGAGATTTTGGCCAGACACTCTGTAATTAACATTTTCTTCAAAGGATAGTGTTAAAAAAAGAGCTTGTGTAAACACCAAATTAGATGTGATCAATAACATGACAGCACAAGAGGCAAATCATTTAGTTTGTACTTGAACTCATCTTCATGTTTTGCCCCATTCAAACTCTTAGAATTGTATTCTTTTTAAATCCAAGTTTGTCTTGGATTGAACATCTTAAGTTCTTTATTTCTTTGCCGTGTGGAAAAAAAATACAGTTTTATCACATTTTGGGTTTAATGTTTAATCACAATTCCAGAAATCTGAACAAAGAAAATGTGGCTGTGATAATGTGACTTGTCAGGCATGGTTTCCTTTTTTAAAATGTCTTCATTAGTGTGAAACACTGAGCAGAAATTCTTCCAAACCAACAATTTCCTTCAAAATAAAAGTGAAATTAAGCTCTGACGTGTTTCATGTGGTAATTTAATGTCATAAAATGCCAGCATTCTGAATGTTCACTCTTTACTTCAACATATATTAAACAAATGTAATCAAATGTTACTCTCAGCAGCCGACTCTCCTGTTTAAATCACCCACACCTCCTGCTGTTCCTCTCTAAACACCAGAATTAATTTCAGTGCACCGAAGAGCAAATGAAACCTCACTTATTTGTCATTCCTCTGTGTCCTTCCCTTCAGAGACGAGCAACAGATGAGTGCCACTTCTTAGAGCGGCTTGAAAGCAACAACTACAACACCTACCGCTCCAGGAAGTACCCGAACATGTATGTGGCGCTAAAGCGGACTGGCCAGTACAAGGCTGGAAACAAAACTGGACCGGGTCAGAAGGCCATTCTCTTTCTTCCGATGTCTGCCAAAAGCTAATCTGTGATCCGGTCAAGAAATACTAAGAAGGTATTCGACAAAGAAGATGTGACGGCAATGAAGACAAAGCATCCCATCATTGCCCAAAATAGCTGTGATGCTTTTCAACTGTTATATCCCAACAGTTATCTTTCATCCTGAACATGTCTGCTATTATTAAGCTTTACTTTCAAACAGTGGCGCACATTCACGTCCAGCTGCTCCCAGTAAATCCAGGCTTTTATTGTGGACCAGCCAGCTGCTACAGAACAGCAGCACAGTATCATTTGTTCATATTATGTCTACAGAACCGATCTTCCTTCTCTGGCTGAAGATTCCAAGCAGCACCATTCTAGTCTTCCCAGTCTGCTTTTTACCCTTTAGTTCACGACAGGGAAGGTCAGGGTTTAAAAGGACGTAGAAGAAAACTGTGTTGAAACGTATCCTAGATGAAGGGGCACTCAAATCTGAAATGATTTGAAGATCACTTGTGATTTGAAGGGACTGAACACAACCATTGAATTCTTACTTTTTTTTATCTTAATTAGAATTTTTGATTAGTGACAATGAAAATTAAACACACTAAAATCTAGTTATGTAGATTTGTCAACCTTTTTTACACTAGTCAGTATTTTGGCACACTGAATGGATACACAGTGAGCTTTGTGAGCTTGTCTTCATTTTCTGATAAGATTGCATTCCCTTTTATACCTTTTGGAATTATCTGGGATTTGTGCAAAACATTTCATGGCACTGGAGCGTAAAGTATATAATACAAGCTACAGTACTTGCGGTGAATGATGCTCTGTTCCTTAACAGGCAGTTATGTATCTTGGGGGGAATGCTGATGATTTGTACTTTCACCAGCTAGCAAGTAGGCTACTTTAGGAGGCAATATTAATATTGCCTTAATTAGTATCATTAAGTAGTTAACAATATAAAATCAGCTAAACTTAACACTGATTGTGCAATCAGCAGACTTCGGGGCAAAAATGTAATCATTGGCTCACAACCACTGTTGCCCGACAAAATAAGTCGTATAAAACTCTGCGGTCTTGCAGATAGCATACTGGCATAGTCCTTTAAAAAGCACAAAGTGAATGTGGATGTAAATCACAGCCTATAGTAACAGTTGCAGTAATGTGTGAAACACACCGCTACCATCAAGTCCAGTTATAAATACACTTTAAATATGAGTATCATGGACAACCATGTGTCCATGATACACTACAACCCATTGAGGTTGATGAGGGCTTGCTAGGGTTTTAGTGTTGGAGGGAGCTGTCGGTGGTACAGCTGGTAATACATCCCAGAATAGACGGCAGGAAGCTCCTCCATGGTGAGGTCGATCTTGTCGAAGCCCTGCTCCAGACCGTACAGCAGCAGCCTGGCTATGCGAGCAGTGATGGGTGTGGTGTCGCCGGTCGTGGCCAGGTCAGCGAGATCCAGCCACTTGCAGCTCAGACACTCCTGAGTGCAGAAGTTGATATCGTAGGTAAGTGGGCCAAGTCGGCAGATGACATACATGTCCGACATACCAAAGGCACCGGGGTGGTTGTGCTGCTGCCGAACACTGAGCAAAGATCTGAACTCAGAGCGAACTCCAGTTTCCTCAAAGACTTCACGAATGGCAGTGGCACCTGTAAATATATATACATGAGGCATTCAAAGGGATTCCGGCAACAAAGATTTTATAGATATATATTCCCTCGTCAGAGTCACCTTCCAGATGATCTTTTTTTTTTTTTTAAGACAACCATTTGACGCTGCTTTTTGGGTTGGGTCATGTAAATAAAATTAAAGCTGCTTTAAGAAAAAAGGTGAATTTGAAGAAATTCTTTGCATAGCCTATATATCATGTGCCTTATTTTGTACGTTTCAAATGAATGTATATGTATAATCTTTAGACATAATACTAAAACTGAAAGGACTTAGCTAGATGTACTGTATTAGTTGCTCTGTTGGGCGTGACACTCACCAATATTTTCTCCGGGCTCAGACAAACCACCGGGAAACTTCCAAGCATTCTTTGTCTGAAATTCAAGAGCAAATTAAGTTCCAATTTAACATCAAGTGTGATGGATGGCACTGCTGTAAATGTACTGTAGAGCAATATCAACATGTACACTGCAAAAAAAACCTCCAGTCTAAGGTCACTTGTTTCTTCAAATTAGTGGCAATATATTAAAGTAAGGCTGTAGTTTTTTGCTGGTAGATCATACGTCCTAAGGGATTGTCTTATAGTATGTATCTGAACTATTAGTTATACAGGCAGAGGGAGTTTTAATGCTCCAATCTGAGAATCCTTTCATGTAATGTTTTAGATTTAATGCCTGACTCTTTTACATTTGATGCGTTGAAGTGTGTGTCTTCACTTCCACCACTTATCCTTGATATTTAAAAACAGTATGCTGCTGATTAAATTATGATGCCAGTGTTGTATATATATTTTTGTAGTTAAAGATTTTTGTATGCTACTCCTTTTCAGAAATGCTTCGTCGTCTTAAATTTTCCTATTTTTGTGACCCCCCCCGCCCCCGCCCACTGTGGGGAACACAAATGCACTTCAGCATTCATTTTCATGTATTGTCAACAAGATACCATATATATTTTTGGAGGTGTTTCTAAAATGAGTTAGTAAGAAGGAATAAAGAGATTTTGCAGAACTCTAATCAGTGTGGTTTTTCAAAGTAAAACATCTCATCCCCACAGGAACTGTGAGAGTAATGATCCCTACGCAATCTGTTCACACCGAAACTACCATGAAATAATGTTCCGGTGTCACTAGATGACGACTAAATCAAACACTCTTATCCATTACATCATTCATCTCTCTGATGGATGAAATTACCAACAGCCCTTCTTTTGTACTGATGTGAGGGCGATAATGTCCTGGTTTCTTTTCAGGAAGTTCCTAACCTTTCGTGAGCTCTGTAATGGCCAGTTTGCCAGAGACACTCCACTGCCAAGGGCCAGACTGTTGCTGTAAAAAGCCCATTTCCAGTAAACAACATGTTGAGGAGGAGGAGAGCAAGAGATAAAACACTCCCCACACTTCCAGGCCACTAACTGTTTCCCTCTGCTTCTGGACAAAAGCCATCATGAGACATTATACCCTCTTAAGATCCTGGCTGGGACACTTTACATGCTGTGTGCACTGAAAAGCAACTGCTGTGCTTCCAAAGGTCAGTTCACCCAAACTACAACAATACTCCATACATTCTCACATGGCACTAATGATATCGGCATAGAGTTTTGGGTTAATCTGTCAAGATTAAGAAAAAAAACATCCATCTGGTGAGATTTTCTGCCTCTAATACTTTGAAAATTACAAATTACAGAAAATGTATGTTTTTAAAGTAATTGTTTTGTTCAATCAACAGTCAAACCCCAAAGATTTTCGTTTGACTTTGGTAAAAACCTGAACCTGCTTGTCACATGTCTTTCATTGAGTTATCAGAGAGAGGGTCTTTACTTGTTGTCTTATTTATATCAAACAGGTCATATTCTTAAAAACCTACTGTATTCTACATTACTGCGTCGTTGTGCAGTCACTTTTTGAAATTGGTGGCGTTCTCATTTTGGCTAAGTGAGAAGGCAAACAAATCAGTGTGGAAAGGTTGTAAAAGAGGCCTGTTGTAAGTGAACCTGGTAACAACCTGGGCACCACAGCAGGGCTCTGTGAGAGCTGACAGAAACACACACTCACCACGTTGTGTGAGTGCATTCAGCTCATGTAAACACTGTTTGCTTGAGGTCAACTAATGTTGTGCGGAGCTATGTTAAGTGTGAGGGGAGCTGAAGGTCTGAAGGGATTTTCACCCACGCCTGGACCAACAGAGGTAACATACAACTTAGTAAATAAACAAAACTAATCAGTGACATTTTTAGCTGCCGCATCATAACAGACTGCTCATTTTTTTCATTAAGATGGAAGGATCACTGTCCAATAAATTGTGCAACAGATTTTTACGTCACCTGGCGAGAGCTGGTGGACTACCTGCCCAAAACCACTTTCTACCCACCAAAATGTCTTCGTTTTTTTTTTTTTTTTTAAGAAATGTGTCATTCTGCAAATGTCCTGACTGTACCTAAACACCGCTCTGTGCCTAGAGCTAGCTAGTTTCCTGATAATAACAATAACTGACTTTTTATTCATCCCTTTTCCCATCCCATATGGTTTTCTGAGGTACCAAAAATATATTATGACATCACTGTTATAGCCAACACATGAATTTAGTGAATAAAATAAGGCTGATTTTAATATCTTGCATTTAATTAACGTCTTTTATATGGCTAAAACAGTACGGGTGTAATAGATAACAATGAAGTGACACAGTTACCTTGTTTCTGTCTTGGACAACTAGAACCTTTCCAGTGGACTCATCAACAACCGCACCTAGATGGAATAAAAACAGTATTATTGCAAACTCTGTTTCCCCGTCTCTACAGTAAGCTGGTCCATAGTTTCCACTTCAGTAGTTACTATCATTTAGGGACAGACCTGTTGGCAGTCTAGTTCAAAGACAGTTACTGGATTGGATGAAACATAAAACCTGCACCATGTCAGGGACAAAGCCTGGAGCTGAGCCTCTGGCCAACAACACAACAGCTGCTTGTCCAGGTTGTGTTTTCTAACAAGTCTCTGCAGCTGACATTTAATCAAATCCACAGACAAACCAGTAAAATAAGTGACGGTATCAGTGCCAGGCTTGTTAGATCTAGGAATTGAGCTTCATTCCACTTCTCAAACATGATTATGAAACCAGCAAAAACTACAACAAGCTGTATGCACAACACTGACATGGCAAACACTGGAGACATGTGTCCAACCATCCAGTACCGTCTGTGATTCACTCTCCTTTTGTTCACCTGCTGTGGGAAATGTCTCCTTCTTTACCAGCTACAAGCTCCACATATGTTCACAGCTACTTGTCAAGTTTGTCTCTTTGTCCGCTCTTTACTGTCAATGAAACTGAAATGATGGTGTTGAGAGCGATGAGTGAAACAGGCCAGAATATGAAATCGATGAGCTCAAAGATGCTATAAACCTCGGTGATAAATGTCTGCGGGTCAAATACAACAGGTTGTGGATAAAGGCTAATTCACAGAGAGCAATAACTTTCCCCACAATTAGTCACAGTGGTAACAGAGACATGCTGATTCTATCTGCTTTAACATCAGCACCACATTTAGTAATTATGGACAAACGTCTTAATTCCCAAAAGTATAGACTGCATATACAGTAAACTATTCCTGTGCTGTAGAACTGTAACACGTGAACTCTTAAAAACATCCAAAGAGCAAACAAGAACAGATAACTATCAGAGAAGAAGGGGTTAAAATAAAATAGGTTATGGAAGAAGGCAACATTCCTTTGAGTCTGAACAGAGTCCGAGTGATTCAGCTGTACTCATGAATGATGTGGATATCCCACCTCACCATTTATCATTTTTCTCTTCTGCTTGAGCAGATGTTTTTTCAGCAGGTAGTGACTAAGATATCCAGCTATGTGCTGCTGTTGCTGCTGCTGCTGCTGCTACTGAGGAGGAGGAGGAGGATGACACAAAGAGGAAGGGAAACGAGACACCATCTTTTCCGGTTGCTCTGTCTGACCAAACAGGACGGGCCTCCTTGGATGAAAGTCACAGATGTGTAAAGAGGGATGGGTCGCCTTAAAGGCCTGACTTGGACTTCCAAGTGGAAATTGATGTCATCCCTGTTCCCTGTGCCATATGACGCCTGACAGGAGGAGGCCTGGTTGCTGCTAAGGGAGGCTATCATTATGTAGCCTTCAGTCCAGGAAACAAAATGCTGAACAGGAGCAGCAGAAAAAAAGGGGGATATGAAAAGCCCAGAAGCACTCGGGCACTGTAGCAGGTTCATTTGCAGCATTTACACTTTTATTATAGGTTAAATGAGTTTGATGTCTATTCTTAATCCACATTGTACATATGCTTCTCCGACTACTTTTTGGTTTTCCCGTAATTATATTTCCAGATATCTGTTATATATTATGAGGCTTGACTTGCTTTTAGTACTGATGATCTAGAAATGTGATTGCTGTGACTGAGAAGCAAAAAAACTGGATAATTCTACTTACAGCTTAGTATACTGAAGTAAGTGCTGTGATGCCTAGTTGGCTCCTTAGATTGACGGGTGAAATCATACTTGTTAATGCAAAGCCTGCTACTTTTAATTTAGTTTGGCTCTATACATACACCTACACTACTGTAAACAGGGTCTCGGAATGAAATCCAAAGTACCTGTGTTCACGTAGACCAGTCTATGTGAGTTCAGTTACGAGTTCCATCCCACTGTTAACACGCTTTAACAACATAGTTAGGTCAACTTTTAAATTCATCTTAAAGAGAACTGTAAATGCTTTTGCACTAACAGTCAGGTTCAGAAGCCCTTTGAGCTCATGTTTCCTTTGCTTAGCACACAATTGGAAATGTACTTCTAGCAGAGCGCTTGCGTCTGCTGTTGCTGCAGTGATGTTAGTGAGTGCCGTGTTAAATACAAACCCACTGTTTTTTAGTGAAGGTTATAACTATATCTATGATCTCTGGCACATCTTCTGACAGTTTACTGGTGTGTTGTTCCCATCTTTATCGAAATGCTAAAGAACCAAGCACACATGCACACAAGTAACCAAACAGCAGTGTGTTTCAGAATTCTAACCTTAGTTTCATCATTATTTGTGAGGGGTGGGGGGGCATTCTGGCAACACAAAGGGGAATTCTGGACCCCATTGCTCACTGAAGGATGCTCTGGACATGTTCTGACATGCTTCATGCGCATCCTCTCTTCTGGGAAGGCATCAGTGGCTGTCTGCCCTCTGCTGGACAATCTCAAACATTGCCGGCAGCTCCTCTTTCCACATTCACAGTCCTGATGACCCAATTTCCATGTACTTCAGTGAAATAGGCCAAAGTTGAAAAATGCGCAACAGCTCATCTGACAAACAATGTCTTATCCTTCTTCTTTAAACAAAGATAAGAACTTAATTTAAATCAAAGTTTATTCCAGCTGTAATCACTTGTTATGACCAACTATCGGACTCTGTTGTGTAATCACTTCACAAACCTGCAGCACTGAGTTATATTAAGAAATAAATACCTGGTACTAGTTTTTATCACTGCTGGGAGAATGTAAACTTTGCTTCCATCTCACTAGTTTGGGTTTGTGGTTCCCAGCAGCCTGTGTTCATCTCGGTCAGTCACATGAGTCTTTATAGCGGAGGACAGCCAGAATCAACGTATATACATATTTAATGTCTGTTATGAGTTTGTATCTTCCACTGACATTAAACATTTTAGGTAATAGTTCAGGTGTGGACCACATGGTTCAGTGCCCGGCCACGTGTCACAGCCCCCTCTCTCTGTTCTTCTTCCCTGTCGCTCTCTCTCTCTCTCTCTCTCTCTCTCTCTCTCGATTGTCTACTGTCCAATAAAAGAAAAATGTTAAAAACCAAATAAATAAATAAATAAAAACAGAATAAAGCAACAAGTTCTCACAATGAAGAGGCTGAAGTGTTTCCTTGGTAATAACTAATCAACAATCAGAATAGTTGTCAATATATATTCTATCTATTGAACAACAGGTTAATCTGTTAATTTAATTTAACTGCTATTTGTTTCTGTATAGCCTATATGGTAATATTGTATGTGCGTAGGCCTATCCTACTGTGTAAACTTGTGTGCCACCATCTTACCAGGGCTGCCCTGAGAAAGAGGTGGTAAACCTCAGTGGGACTTACTCTGGTAAAATAAATGTTAAAGAATAAATAAATAAAAAGTATATCATATTTTTGATGCAAGTTTATTGTGCTTGCTCAGAGTAATATTGTCTCAACAGACACATTGCACTAGGTGCCCTAAGTGTAAAGATGTATGGTTTATACTGTATATTTTTTAATGTGGAGGATACAGATAATAAACAATAATCAACATTTAGAACCTGAGTGCACAGACTCATAAAATGTTTATTGCATAAGACAGTAAATCTTGGACAGAGCTATACTGTGCAAACTGACAGTTTTGTCAAACTGCTACCTAAAATGCAGAATCTCTACCTGCCACTCCGACTTGGTGAGTTGCAAACCCAGGCAGTCGGCTTTTTCCTTCTCCCAGCCAGAGGGCCAACACAGAGTGGTCGTGCTTGGCGTGGTGGAACGTGAAGCCATGAGTCGAGGAGGCAGCAGCACATCGACTCAATGAGATGGGTATTCGCAGCCACACTGCTGCCTTCCCCTCTGATTTCCACTGGACCAGTGAATCTGTCAAGCACACAAACCCAGTTAACAAGCAACTGCCTCAATGAGCAGATTTTCCATGTGGAAGGTTTCAGGGTGGAATCCTGGAGCGACTGGAAGTATGCAGGCAAAAATAAGAAATCACATGTCACTTTAGCAAACAAGTGGTTTGTCCATTCATACCTTGTTGTAAATGTAAAAGTGTTGTGTGTAGAGATGTTATGACATGGCTTTCCTTCACTCCTGCACTAAACACTGTTGAAATAAAATCCAAAACGTCTTTATGCAGAATGGTCCATTTTAGATTGATGTAAATTACATCACTGGATTATAATTATTGATGCATTCATGTGTAAACATAACTAATGTTACAACTTGCAGGCCGGAGTTAGGTTCAAATATTCTGTTTACTGCTGTGAAATAACTAGTGCAGCTCTTATTCTGAGCCAGAGAGACTTTCATTTCCTTGTAAGGCTGCTCCTGTGCCCATGCATTAGATTAGACGACTGTCTTGTGCGGTCAGAGTCTGACAGATGAATGATTTGTGACTTTATACGTGGAATGAATGATCATGTTTGTTTCTCTCCGGGGCCTCCTGCACCACACTTTACGGTAACGAACCTTGCAGTAATCTGCTGAATGCGCCTTCGCTGATGTCCGCAGGTAAACCAGCGTCAGCCAGGTTCACGGTCACGCCACCGAATCGGTCCACCTGTCCTGTCAAAACACCGGCCCCCTTCACTCTGTGTAACTGGGAACGACTTCCTGTGCACGACAACGCACGGACAGCTGTGTTTGCGGGACAAAGAGCTTTACTGCAAAGCCTACCGCTCACCTGTGAAATCTTGGAAACCAAGGCACAGACAGCCATGGCGCTACACCCCCAGAAACTACCGTTTAAAGGTAGAAATCACTGGCTTTCCCGCTGGCTAACACAGTAATGGTAAGGTTGTGGCAAAGTCTACCCTGGAAGTTGCATAAATACCGTAATTCTCAGGCAAAACAGATCCATTCACACACCTGACAGTTTATCTCGTTAATACAGGATTGGCAGTAACAAAGGAAAATCACAGTTACATTTTATATCGATAAAAATGAACGTTTTTGTTCAATGAATAAATGCTTTTGTTTTTAAACATTTTTGTAAATCAATCCACAGTAGTGTGTTGGACCGCATTAGATACAAAAGACAAAACATGCGACATCAGTTTCCAGTCGGAGACACCAGGGTTTACGGTAAAGGGGGCGGGGCTGAACTTTAACCAGGAAGTTTACAACACTGCTCCATGTTTACACATGTTTGCACTTTCACGTGGACAAGATTCTCATTGTTAAAATGTCTTCAAAGAAAAATAAAGGCAAAATTAAAAAGGCGAATGAAAGGGACGGTTCGCTCGTCCTGAAGGAAGACTCGAGTGGCTCCTCAAGTCTGCAAACATCTGGCCACGACGGTGGAAACTGCACACGTTCAAGCAATTCGTTCACAGTCATCGATTTCATTGATAAAGGTGGGAGTTTGGTGCTTAAACTGTATAATTTAATATGTTGTAGCGTTCAGAAGAATGCTGTATAAAGGCGGTGCTGTTTCACATTGCTGCTGTTGTATAGCAAGATGCTAGTCCAGCTGTTCCACCTGTAAACAAGGACAGAGGGACACTTCTCATAGTTTTCTCTGCGTTTTAAAATGACCGAGTGAAGTGAAAATGGCTTTAATAAGAAGGAAAGTAAACTAAATCACTTACAGTTTGGATGCAAAAGTTTGAGACAAGTGATATAATTTTATTTTTGCATTCATTCAGTTCATTCTTTAAGTTAAAAGAAGTAAATACGACCCCAGCAGCAAACAGACACAGCAGATTGACTTTTTTTTTTTCAAATGTTAAAGCACTGTCAAGTTTTAATTTCCTGACCTTGTAAATTTCATGTATTTAACAAACAGTATACAGTACCTGAGGTGCAGAAGCTTGGGCACCCTACAAAGTCAGTATTTGGTTTTCTTCCTCCCTCACAGCACTGCATCTCTACTTCCTGTCCTGTCACAGCTAAGAATCTTTATCGCCCTCTCTCTGCACATATTCCAAGGCTGTCTTGCACACACAACAGGTTTAAAATCCCTGCTGAAATAAGGGGACTTGAACAGGGGCTGTGGGGTTGGCTCAGAGCATTTTCATCTGCAACCCCAAATTTTCTGGTTTGCGACTGTGTCAACAAAGACCCAGGACTGTTGTGCACCTTAAAACTTGTTTGCAGGAAGAACGGGACAAAATCACACCTGACACGCTTAATGACTTGGTGTCCTCAGTCCCTAAACGTCTTTTAAGTGCTGTGAAAAGGAACGCTAACATCACACCACGGTAAACGCTTTACTGGTCCAACTTCTTTTGGAATATGTTGCAACATCAAGATTGAAGTGAGTGTTTATTTTGAACAATGAATAAAGTTGATGAGGTATCACATTAAATGAGAGTGGAACACACAATGCAGTACACATTATCTCCTATTGTGTTCTCATTATATTTGTTTTACATACTTTTTATTATATTTCTTTCACTCACTGTTTAAAGTGCCTTTAGATTTTGTGCTACTTTATATTTCACTCGTCACACTTCTCATTTGTGTTGTTTGGCTTTCAGGGTGGACGGCAAAGTAAGAATTTCATTGTGCAGGGAAACACGTTTCCATACTGTGCATATGACAATAAAGCGCTGTATTGTTTTCAGTCTAATACAGGACACAGATGATTTATAAATCACTATTTTCACTTTTATTTTTGATTTTACATAACGTGCCAGTTTTTCTGATTTGGGGTTGTAGAATTTGCTGCTGTTTAGTGGAATTCCTTCATCTCTCTCTCTCTGTGCAATGTTTCCTGTTTTTTTCTAGCTTTTTAAGTTTGTTATACTAAAAGTAACAATGCATTAACATTTGAAGACCGGCTTATCTTTTTGTTTGTTGCAGGGGTTGTATTTAATCCCGTGGACTTCTGGACTTGAACTGCATACATGTCAATAAAAAACTGTTAAAGTAGGGGTATTCTCAAATGATTGACCAGTCGTGTTTGACATCATGGTTGCACATCATATTTTTGTTAATTTTCCTTGCAGCAGATGACAAAACACCCAAAAGTTGCAGATCAACTTTAGCCCAACTGAGCCTCTATTCAATGAAGTCAGCCAATGTGTGCATTGGGAGACCAGTTCTGCTGACGAGTACTACAGGTCAACAAGAGGTATTCTATCCTCTCCTCATATTAAATGAGCTTTTAGTTGATGAATTGTGTCTATTCTCTGAGCACCACCCACTCTCTCTGCAGCTGCCTGAAAAGAATGCAGCCCTGAAACCACTTAGTAATCATCTTCTTCTGCCAGGTGTGTGTGGGATGGCCTGTTGCCTCCTTTCCTGGTGGAAAAGTCGGTCTTCAGAAGTGTGCTCAGAACAACCTGAGAGTGAAGTCGGGAGATGAAGTGATGCTGCACCCTCTGATGGGCCCTGTGCTTCAGGCTGAAGAGGTGGTATTATGTAACAGGTAAAAGTCATCTGCTTTTCATGGCCTAAAACCCCTCGACCCAAACTACACTTAATAGACAACATAACCGTTCAATCACTTTGTTTGACATTTCTCTAAACTTTCTCTTTTTGTCACAAAACTTTCTTGTTCATGTCATAACATGACACATTGGCATGTTGTTATAATAACAAAATATGAAACATTATTTTATGTCCTTTCAAAAACCCAAAGGCAGTATCACAGATTGGCTCAGATGCACAGCCTTGCTGTTGACTTTATTTTGTTTATTAAGTAAACACTGCCATCTGCTGGTTATATGTGGTGGCTGCAGTTCAGATGTCAATAACTATTGTCTACATTTACAGTCAAATCTCAGTGTAATGCATCTTTTAATTTACTGTATATCTGGTTTTATATTACTTGTCATGAGATACTGATTATTTTCTTGACATTGTATCTCATTTATTTACAAGTCTGTGTTCTATGATGCTGCTGTCGTGCTCCTGTACAGAGATGTTTAATCTCAGTAAAGCATTTCCTGGTTATATAGGGCTGTATATAAGCAAATAAGGTTTATTCTCACATGCATGTAACTTTATTTCAGGTCAAAAGACGACACATTGCAGACAGACGAGTTCAAGAACTTCTTCTTGAGATCTCTGGGTATGTCTGTTTGCTGACTGTGTACATTCAGTTTATATGTACAGAATGCTGTTTTATATTGTCCTGTTTCTCTTCTCGTTAGCCATCTTTCATGTGCCTTAGATTTGTAACAATATGTTTATATTTACCCCATTCTGGGGAAAAAAAGAGAGAAAATGCCTTGACTTTATTTTTAATTGTAGTTGATTTCCTGTTTGATGACTGACCAGAGAGTTTTTGTGTTCTACTGGGATAACTCTCCTGGTTTGTCTTGTGCCAGCGGGGAACATCATTCTGCCAGGAAATGTCCTCTCCCTGACCTACTTTGGCCGGTCGTGCAGTCTCCGAGTTGAGACAATCAGAGGGGAGGATGGCATCACTGTCCAGAGACCAGCTCCTCTCCCAGGACTGGGTCCTGACATGGAGGTGTCTTCTGTGAGTCCTCTGGACTCCACATCAGCCGATCTTTCCCTGCAGCTCAGCCTGCTGACTGTTGATGACAACAATGGTGACGGGACACCAGGCTCATCTGGTGAGCTGGGTCCTGCAGCCAGCACCCCATGCCGACCTGACCACCTCCCTTCTCTTTCATCACCCCCTGCTTCATGCACTCCTTACTGCACATCCCAGAATCCTTCAGCAGAGTCAGCGGAGGATACTGTCCATCTAGAGAGCTCACTCATCTCAGAGCAGACAGGGACAATTCCCAAAGCTCCCCCTGGTGTTGCACTGAGTACTGACACCTTCTACTGCCTCTCCTGCTCAACTAAAGTCAGTTTCAGAGACAGAGCAGGGCAGGAAGATCCAGATGCAGAAGCTAAAAGGTCAAAGGTCACATACAGCATGATTGGAGGGCTCAGCAGCCAGTTGGATGTCATCAGAGAGACCATTGAGCTTCCTCTGAAACACCCTGAACTGTTCTCCAACTATGGTACGTCCCCTGATTAGAAAAAAATACGATAAAGACTAAAATTGTAAAGTTTATTAAATTATGAGTTTGAATAATTTAACTCTCTATACATTTTACATTCAGGTAAAACAACAACATGTAAATACTAGACATTAAAATGGTATATTTGTCCCTCAGATGCCCATGATGGCATCATTGTTGTGGCTGGATAGAACTCAAATGCCCTTAACAATATAGATATAAGCTGTTTTCTGTACAGGGATCCCACCTCCCCGAGGAGTGCTTCTGTATGGTCCGCCAGGCACAGGAAAGACTATGATTGGACGAGCCATAGCCAGTGAGGTCGGAGCTCATATGGTGGTGATCAACGGCCCAGAGATCATGAGCAAGTATGGTCACATCCTCAAAACCTTTACAGTGCTTTTCTGTCCCAGTAGAATACAAAGTGAACAGCAGCGTGACACTGCTCACTGTCTTGTACAGATTAAACAGCTAGTAGACAGATTCACTGAAGGTGATGTACTGTTTTCCATTTTTGCAGATTCTATGGTGAAACAGAAGCGAGACTGAGGCAGATATTCACTGAAGCGTCTCAGAGGTGTGCATCAGTTATATCGCTCAAACTTTCTTCTGTATGTGCAGCATGGTTGATTTTTTTTTTTTTTTCTTCTGCCATTTTATGTTTTAGTATTTTTTCATTTGTAGTTAATGCAAATTGTTAAATTATACGGTTTTTGCACAGTAGTTTAAACATAAATAATAAGTTAAAGAAAAAAACAGTTGGATTTATAGTTTAAAATCAAACCTCAAACACATTTTGTTAGTTCTGTCCTATAAAATACTTTATACTGGAGCCTTTAAATAAGAAGTGTGGTTTGGGTCTTACACTCTTGTTGGTCATTTTGGCCATTTTGTAAGTACTTTACTCACGTTTCCTCACATTCTGTCTTGGTTTGAAAGGCAACCTGCGATGATCTTTATTGATGAGCTGGATGCTTTGTGCCCGAAGCGAGAGGATGCTCAGAACGAGGTGGAAAAACGAGTTGTTGCTTCTCTCCTGACTCTGATGGATGGGCTTGGCTCAGTAAGCATCCTTTGAATAGATCCTGTGCCTTTCTGTCCAATACTGATTCTATGAGGTGTTGATTTTTAGATTAAAATAATGGCAATCTTTTTTGATTTAACTTTTTCTTTGCATACACTTGAACACATTTTCAGATTTCACAAATTAATTTTATTCTTAGTTGTTCTTTAAACTGCTCAATCCACTTTTGAGTCAGTAGATTATTTGTATAGTCACATAACTACTATCACTTGAAATGCTGCCTTATAGATCTCCCCCCCAAATCTTACAATCAGTGACTTTGTCTGGTTTCCCATTGCCTCTAAGTTCAACTGTTTTTTTTTTTACAGTTTAATTCCCCCCCATTACTCAGTTTAAACATGCATCTTCTCTGATATGCACAGCTACAGTAGGTGAACATCAAGAAAGCCTGTGTTACATTGACCAACAGCAGCTTGTTCAGCAGATACATGGCTGAAGAATACGGCCTTGTGCAGCAGAACTCGGCTCTGTCAAGCCATGTCCTTACTGGAAGTGCAGATTATCATGCAAAAACCATCTCTGCATGCTGGACGCCCTCTAGACCCTGTTGGCTGTATCTCTGGGGTGTCGTTTGTCCATTGTACGTTTTTTAAGTGCCTAATGAGAAAAAAGATGATTCTCCCTACATATGTCCGATGGGAGCCTGGGAAAGAAATCACCCAGGGCTGCTATGATGTCCTGCCAGTCTGCAAAGTACAGCCCCATGTTGTCACATTTGGATCAGTGATATTACACAGATACACCGACTCCCTGCCGCCGGCTCCTGTCTGTTCACCAGAACGGAGGATCCAAGGACATCAGTAGTTTATGGAATGTGGAGAAATCACTTCCTGCTCTTCAGCACTCTAATTTATTTGTGTTTCGATTCTTCCTGCGCTGTCAAAAGGAGGAAATATTCCCCACCTTGCTGGCAGACCACCCCAAGAAGCACAGCACGGAGTCAAGTTTCATATGAAACACTGAAAACCAGAGGGGTAGAATCACCAATGTGTGGTCGTGAAGGCTGTGTTATGTACCTAGTATGACATTTTAGCCGGCATAACAGTGGTAGTTCGACGTGCACCAGCTCATATCCACATCTCTTATTTTTCTTCTTTTGTTTTGAAAAGCAGCTGCAGAGCTGCCACAGTTGTGTGAGTGGGAAAAGTCAGTAGTTTTTACAGAAGAATTACTAGAAAAACAAATGTTTTGATGTTTGCTGTTTTCTGTGATGCAGCTCCACATAGTTACTGACTTTGTTTCAAGTAAAACACAATGTCACATTAGCTGAAGGCTGCAGATAATCAATTTATACATCTAGAGCTGCAACAGCAGCACAGTAACACACACATCCTAATGTAAAATAAAAGTCTGACACCACTGATGTCTACTTTCCCTGCTGTTTTGTCTTTCAGGAGGGTCACTCAGGTCAGTTGTTGGTCCTGGGGGCCACAAACCGACCCCATGCCCTCGACCCCGCCCTGCGCCGGCCAGGACGCTTTGACAAGGAACTGGAGGTGGGTTCTACAAGGCACGGTAGCAGACGTGGGCCTAAATGGTTCAGTACTTTGGAAAAATGTCCTGTACTAGATAAGTTCCAGGTTACTCTTACATTCCACCTGTGGCCATGTCTCCTATGTGCTCATTGTGAGCCTGTCTGGTAAAAATTGGTAGCTCATTGGTTAAGATGTAAATATTAGATGCTTTTTCTTCTTTAATATTATTTGAAATGTTCCATCACAATCACTCAGCTTGTACTTTCTGTTCCATTATCTGCTCTGTTGATTTCACTTTGGCAGGTAGGAGTCCCTGGTGCAGCAGAACGTACAGATATTTTGCAAAAGCAGCTGAGTTTGGTACGGTGCAGTGCCACCACAGAGGAGCTGACACAGCTGGCAGAAGCTGCCCATGGATATGTAGGAGCAGACCTCGCAGCTGTTTGCAAAGAAGCAGGCAAGTAAACGCTGTCCTACTGTCACGTAGCAGGTCAGGGTGCTCTGAAAGATTAAAAACATGACCCAATATTTCACTTGGTGATGGACCCAGAATGTTTATTACTAGGCCTAGCTTGGCCTGTTTAGCTTTTGATTTGTGACATAACATTTTAGTGAATGTGCAGCTGACCCAGTGTGGCCTGTGCAGGCTGGTTACACTGTGATGTAATTAGTCTAACTGCCTGTTTTTATTGTATTTAATTATTCTAATGTTAGTCTAATATGCTGTTGTACCAAAAGAACTGGACCTTGGGCCTTTTATGTATTATTCATATATTTGTTTTCTTTCATATGTAAATCTGGGGAGGCGACAGTGGTGCGGTGGGTAGAGCAGATGTTTCCCAACCGGAAGGTTGAAGGTTCTCATCCAAAGCGACTGGGCTGTTACTAGAAACCCAGCTATAGACTGTGATTGAGTCATGAAATCTGTATCATAAAACTACCATGAGACCCAGGAGAACATCCACAGCCACTCAGAACAGTTATGAAACATCACTGCTGCACTTTGCGTCACTTGCCACTTTGTACTTCCCAAAACCAACATAATTTGGGAAACCAAATCAAAGTTGCACATGGCAGCTGGCCGAAAAATGTTCACTCACCATCTTTTAGTAGTTTGGTTTGCCTCATGGGGCGAGGCATTCAACCAACAAACAAATGGCAAAGGAATATAAGTTTGTTGTTGAGATGTAGGCCTCGTATTGTTTTGTCTTGGCACAGCCTCTGCTTGTAGTTTGGCCAAACCATAGTTTCTAGTGACTTGTTTTTTTCTGAAGTCGTTTTTGACAATTTTTTGAGATCTCTTCTTGGCAGAAATGCCTGCAGCACCTTGGAACCAAGAGGGTCAACCATCCTTTGATATTTGCCTGAGAGGAAGCAGAGAGTTTGTGATATTCAGCTCCCAGTGAGAGACACTGCTGAAACCACCACTTGTTGAAATTCTTCTGCTCACTCACCCCTAATGCCACAAACTAATCCACCTCACATCCACACGTTGGCTTATATATGCATGTGGCTGTGAATGCACGAGCACAGGCACATTTGTTTTTCTGCGTGTGTGACCCCATATGCCTCCTGGGTGGTCCCAATGCCTGGGGTATGCGGTGTATTGCATTTCCATCTGAGGAGGGAGCTAGGGCTGCTGTGTGGAAGCATTCTGGCGAAGAGCGTGATTTAGTGTCCACAGAGAGCCAGACGTGACTGGCAGTGTTTTCTGAGAAGCCTCCTGACACCCTGGAGGCAGACAGCAACCTCTCCAACCCCGTTTGACTCTGCTCGCTTCCTCAAAAATCTCCAAACCCAAATCACTAGAAAAACAGGCCCTTGCTTTGTTTTGCCTTTATTTATTTCTGTCAGCTTGCCCGGTCTTGAAGGGACAAAGAAAATGCAAACTGAGATGAAACAGAACACATATATGACTATAAAGGCTTCTGAGTTGTAGGTCAACTCTTATGGTATCCAAATCCACATACAATATCTGTTTAGCAAAGGAGCTAGCAGTCTAACATCAACCTGTTTATCTAATTGAGGCTGTCAGCATCCTGGCAGCCTGTATGCATGGTCAGTAGCTAGTTGCTAACTTTGTCTGCTATTTGGTGCTGGACATGTAGTTGGCAGTATTTCTTTGCAGAAAACAACACTGAAGATAGAATGAACCCAAACATTAAAGTTTTGGGCTGCAAAACCAAAAGAATGAGTGGAGGACGCTGAAATGTTTTGTAGTACTGCAGAGCTGGGTGATAATTACAGCATAACCCTGGAGCTGTAAATAGAAGTTTGACAGTGTTTATGATCAACTCTCACCGAACCCCCATACCACCACACATTTTTTTGATACACACACACACACATGAACCCACAGGTTAATGTTTTTTCCTTCTTTGTTTTCATTGAAAGAAACAAAAGCCAACGAGGCACAGAAACATCAAGTAGGAACTGCAGTTGTTTCCTTCTGCTGCTCAGGTAACAATGAGCTGCTGCGGGAATGTACAATCTAACACGCTGCTTCCTGACAAACGATACCGGGACTGCTGCGACACCCTAGGATCACGCACAAGATCCCCACCTTTCACAGCTGCAGAAGAGCATGCAGGCACGCACATTTGTGACTTTTAGATGCAGTCACACACAAGAAGCACATTATGGTGGGGGTTCATATTCTGCCTCGGGACAACACAAAGCTCCTCACAGGTCAGAGACTAGGACAGTTTAAATCAATTCTTCATCTCTGGAGAAAGGCAGACGGAAAGATGAGAAGGCCAAGTGGCTGTTTTCTCTGTGCATTTTTTCCTTTTCCTCATGAGCGTGTTTGTGTGTGCATAAGAATGGATGGAAATCTTGATGTCATTAGGAAAGTTTTTGTTTGTCAAGCCTGAGTTGCACCAGGCCCCAGAAACAACCTCTTGATGACAGATGTGTTATATAATCAGCACTTAATTACAGTGGATCATGTATTGTCCAGTTTTGAGTGTAATGTAACACACACTCAAACCAGATCCGTTAAAGTCTGTCATCAAGGTCACCTTAAATTCCTCTTAAGCCTTCACTGAGTGTGTGCGCATAAGAGTGGATGGATCCCTGTGATCCTTTAATGAAAGGAAGGATTTTAAAACCAGGAGAGAAACTATTGGAATGCACCATCGTGTTTTACCTGATTGTTCTACTGTAGATAGAAGTACACCAGTTCTTTACATATGTACTACAGTGAAACAGCAGGAGTGAACATCAGGTTCTGGTTCATTTGCTCGTAGCTCAAAGATGGATGCCGTGGGTGACAAGCAGTCATAAACAGAAACTGCTCTGCTGTGAAGATTCCTAATTCAAAAAGCTTGAAAACAATGTGTATGTGTCACTGTAGAGCTTCAACATCCCTCAGGGGCCATTTAAAAGCAGAAGTCAATAAATCAAAAATAAAGAAAGAACTACATGTACTGCCAAGAATAAAAATGAGGAATAACTACAAAAAGGAGCACAGGTTAAAATTGGCTTGTTAAACTAAATGTAATTAAAATGTAATTTTGTGTAAAAAGCCAGTAGCAAAAGTAGATAGTGTTAATGCCACCGTCATGGTGGTATAATACATAGGGTACATAATATATCCTGGGTGGCTCTGACTTGCATGTAGAGATCTACAGAGACTTGGAGAATCTCTACCAAGGGCAGCTTTGGGCCAGTTACTCAAACTGTAATCAGTTACTCATTAGATACTGCTTATTAAAAAAGTAACAGCATTACTTTACACTTTCATTACTCCGCTGTCAGCTCCGACAAGTGTCCTTAAAACAGCTCCAAATCCTCCACACCCACACCTTGTGCATTGACCACATGTAGAATCAGTAAAACAAGACACTGCACTCTAACAAGCTGGCAGTCACAGTTTGGAATGATTTCCTGACCAGCAGTGAGCGTAGCCTCAGCGACTGCACGCAGCTCTCCTGAAGTCTCAACATCAGAGGCTCAGTTACAGACCAGTGTTGGAAAACAGATGACTCCTTACTACATATATGTGCACTTGTGTTTGACATGTGTAACTTCAGCCAGCCAGGAGCACATGGAATTTAAATAAGATTGCTTTGGAATAACCTGGAATCACATTTCTCCTCTTTTGGTTTTGGCTATCTCCTACCTCACACCTGAACCGAACCCTGCACCAGTCTGCCCACTAAACGTAGAGACCAAACTGATATCAACCCTCCATCACAATCCCAGTAAGACAACGGACAAGCTGACCCTCACTTATGAAAGCAACAGTGTTACTGGGGATCAGTACCTGGGGTACCACCACTGACCAAGGAGAGTCCTGTGGAGGCCTAACACCTTATTAGAACATTTCATGTTGCTTCTGTCTCTGGTTTGGCCCTGAATAAACATTCAGTCATTGGATTTTAATCTGTTCATACCACAAACAGTGATTTAAAATGTTTAAGCTTTGCATAAAAATCTTGTGCAAGAGAAAAGTATGTAAGAAAGAAGTTTGTTACAGGAAAGTTTCTTCTTCTTTGTTCCCACCAGCTTTTGACCCCTTTATTTGGTGACCCACTGACATAGATCATTAACTTCTGATCTGATCACATTTGATTTCAAAGCTATTTGAGGGTGTAGTTGATGTAGACAAAGCTGCTTGCAGCAGAACAGAGTATAACTTAAAGTACCGTTTGTATACTTTCAGTGCTTGTTGTGCAGTCTCAGCTGTACTGTAGGAGCTCTACATGAGGACCTCTAGTGGGAACGTGTTTTATTGCTGTGGAGGTAAACAGCCCTGTTCAGCTGCAAGCAGTGAATGGAGGACAGGCTGAAATCCTTTCAGATGATTTGAATTCTAACAGAAAGTCAAACATGGAACACAGCTGGCTGCTAAACTGATGCTAGTTTAGTGGTTGTTTCAGGTCAGGAATGTGTTTTTCTCCTTTATCTTAATCATTCTAAACTTTAAGTCAGAATTTTTTGAGTTTAGTAGACAAACAACCTCCAGTCAAACCACATCCTTCCTTCAGCCTCTTTTCAGTTGTAGATACTGACCTTCAGTCAAACTCTATCAATCTTCTGAATGTCTTCCATCTCAGCTGTGTCTGCAGTGGACATGGCTTTCATCTTCGCTTCTTGCTGGTCGACAGATTTATGCACACGCTGAGATGATCTACTGGACTGTGTTAGTCACAGCAGAAAAATGTATAGCCTGCACGCCACCAACTCTATTTATGAATATTTTTCTGACCATGTTTCTGCTGTATCTGATGTAGCTTCTTGTCGTGTCATTTTCACTGTGCTTTATATCAGATTTATATTAGAGTTTGCAGATTCAGATAGGGAGACAAAGCCACAGCTGGCTGCTGCAGAGCCTGTGACTCTGTGGAACTCCTCCCCTCTGGACGGCGCTGCAGGTCACTGTACGCCAAAACAACCAGACACGAGGACAGTTTCTTCCCCCGTGCCGACACTCTGATCAACACTTAACCCATG